GAGTTGTCTATTTAGCCTCTGCCTCTACCAGTAATTAAGAGATGGCCTTGGTCAAAATGCATTCACTATGCAAATTCCTACCTCGCTCAGCACTGTACTTCTGCCCCAGTAACCCTAGGGGTCAAAATGGTGCATCTGGAGGGGAATGGGTTGATCCAGACAGCTCTGCTCCCTTTGTCTGGCTGGAACAGGGACACACAGGATGGACTAGCAGTGTTTCCTGATGTGTGTCCTGAGGAACACTTTTTATGATAAAGATGCCTTAAAAAAGTCAGATTTCATGGTCAAATAAATTTGGGCAAGACTGTAGTCTGAATCTTCCTTTGGGAGTTTCACAACGCACATTGGCACATTAAGGGTTATGAAAAGTCTCGCAGCAAAGAACTCTATATGCTTTAACTCAGCAAGTCCCAAATTTATTTGACTATAAATCTTCTTTCTGGTAACACCTTTTAATATTGAAACTTAGTTTGGGAAATGCTTGAGACTACTCTACAATATAACAGCTATGAGGCTTCAAATCTAGCTACAAGACAACTCTTGGCTTCCCTGTTCAAGAATTATTGCTCAACAAAAGATTAGTGTAAGAATTAAACTAGAAATGGAATGTTCAGATTTCTGACAACCAAACTGTAATCTGTCAATTTTGTCTTAATATAAGGAAAACATATATTTTTGAAAACCAAGAGAAAGAAAAACATATTTTTAGGTCACAATTACAATGATCCACAACAGTATACTCTTTATAAAAATATTTGCTATCATGGACCCACAACCCAATTATGTGTGTTCTTTTATGTGTAAAATAAAATAGACAACAAAGTGACGGCCCAAATATTTCAAGTCAACTTTTCTTTCTGCAATAATATAACTTTGCCTGTTAATTTTCAGATAATTCAAGCTTGCTAAGTTTGAATGTAGACTTGGAAGAGAAAGTAGGAGTCAAAGTCATGGGGAAAGTTATCATAATTCTCCCCTTAACTGTTTAAATATATTTTATTAATAAATCTGGCCTTAGGTAGCTACCGTCATTTGACCATCTTTGAAACCATTAAGGAAATACCCAGAATATTACATAATACACTAAAAATTCTCCCAATATCTGATAACTAATGTTCCCACATTTCTAGGCATTCAATTTACTAAGAAAAAAGATTTGAGCACTAAGTATCATGCGTACATGTATCAAAGTATCTTAAAAATCAGTTTGCCCAGACATAAAACATCTTCTAAAACAAAATTCATAGATTTCCTTTCTAACCTCAAGCATCTCCAGTAATCCCATTAAAATCTATTCAGATTTATGAAGGGGAAATCCTGATACCATGGAACTGATCAATATTTCAGATTCTCATTTTTTAAAATTTACCACTTTACGACTCATGCCCATCCATAAACGGATTTATTCAGATTTACATTTGAACACCATCGACTATTTCATTCTTTTAACTGAAAACCATAAAAACATAACTACGCAAAGTTCTCCCTTTCCAAAACCCAGTTGGTAAAAATGTCAGACAGTAATACAATCTGAATCAAAGAGAAAACATTCATGGACTTCCTCCTCCTAAAATCTGGGGGTGAAAGGTAGCTGTTAATGAACTTCACACTTGGATGTTAGATTGAACTTTCTCTTCACTCATTGCATTTTAGTTTAGTGGTCACAAATGATCAGGTTTTCAAGGAGCTCTAAGGGCAGTGCCTTACCAGTGTAGATGCTGGCATTGGAAGCTGGAATACCAAACTGTGACTCGATGAACTTGGGAATGAAGGTAATGAAAGCAGTTACAATGGCACTCTCAGCTGTGTATGACAAACTCACAAAAAGGAATGTCATGTTGCTTAAGATTCTGACAGCTGCTCTTGGTAGGTCTACAAAATGACAAAAATGACAAATGAATGTTAAAAACAAGGGATGGAAAATAAATAAAATTGAATTGTTTTTGAAATGAACTGGAAATAGCCATTCAGCAATATTTGAGAATATTGAATAAAGAATAAAAATAGAAAAATCTGATGACTGATTAGACA